TACGTACGCACACACACACACACACACACACACACACACACACACACACACACACACACACACACACACACACACATTAACACCTAAGGAGAATTTAGAGAAATAACTCGGAGTTATTGACCATTCATACTTTACAAAGTATAAGTGCTAATAGATTTGTTCACTGCTCTTTGTAAAGTGATCGGTGATGGCATTTACCTGCTGCCATATCACATTAGACCATTTCAAATGTTTATCTTGTTGCCAAGGAGCATTTTCTTGCCATTCAATATATAATCAAGTGAAAGGTTATGCATTTCATGGGGAGAATATCAGGCATTTCAAATATTTCATATTTGCTGTGCATGTTTGTTTAGACCTGAGACTCCTCCACAATCTGCACAACATACTGATAAATTCAGGTACGTGAACCGGAGAGGAAGTTGTCGGGAAAGCGGCCAAGGTCCGAGTAAAGTCCTTGGAAGTTCCTCTGAAAACCTGACAAACTGTTGCTAAAGACCGCTTTGCAATATTGCAAGAAATGTGGAATTTAAAAAAAATAGCAGTTTGGTTTAAAACTTCTGCCCAATACTATAGATACTCTGCAGCAAACAAGAAGTCAAATGTTGTGGCAAACTGTAAACGTGGTTACAGGTCGATGCATGACGCGACCTTTGGTCCTCCTCAACATGTGTTGCAAATACATCTGAATGTCTTTGATGTTCGGCTTTTGAAGAAACTTGAGGCGGCCAAGTATCAGCGGCCAGCTGGGTATCTCACGCAGCAATCCGTCATTCCGATCTCTGTTTCCCGCTCCGTCTCCTCCTCATTCAATCCACCCCTGGGACAGTCAGCTATGATCACCTGTCTGAGCTTTTCAGGGAGCAAAGATGATGTTCAGAGCGCAGGTCCCCTTGAATGTGTGCAAACCGAAAGGTCAAATCTTAAGCAGTTCTAAAAATATTCAAAGGAGATGAGATTCTTGTCCATGTCTGCTCACATTTCGCTCATCTACACATGCACGTCCAGCTTTACATACTGGGTCGCAGCCAGGTTTAAAAGACCCTGACCACTGGCATCTTTGGTGTATCTCTATGACAGCGAGGTGTTAATAGTTTAAACGGGCTCTGAGCCAAGTAACATCCCTCTCCCTCACTCTTGCGAAATGGTTCAAGTTCTTTCAGGCCTCTGCTAATGGCTGGTGGGTCAGGAAAGCCAAGACCACACATTTACATCAGCAGTCTTTTCATTGTTTGACCATGTTTGGGTGTCTGGTCACATAGCCAGCACAGGATTTTAGCAGTTTCAAAAACCGAACTGACCTTCTGCGCAAAAACGGCAAATTCTTCTCAAGAAAAGTAAATGAATTTTAGGAATCTGATTTGGAAATATCTCCACATTTGATGCACTGTTAACTCCCGAGCATAAATCTTTCTTTATCTCCTCCGTTTCCCCCCCCTCCCCCCTTCCCAACATTTTTCTGCTATTTTTCCCTATCTTGTGTGGGAGGCCAGGGGGTCAGAAAGCAGCGAGGTGATAAATGCTTCCAGGTCACCTCTCCTGTCTCTGGGGGTCAGGCAGAGGGTTTCAGCAGTGACAGCAACAACGTAATCATTCAGTTGCAGAAGCAGCAGAGCTGAGCCCTGCTGACCTGCCCGGTCCCTCTCTGTCTCCGCTCCATCAGCCTCATTCTGTTTCCCTAAAACGGCATTCGCAAAAAAAAAAAAAAAAAAGAAATCTGCTGTTATCTAAACAGAGGGACCGCGTGTTCTAGCACAGTTGGAACAGAATCTCCTGTCATGTTGAGACATACAGTACATGCAGTAGTTTGTTTATGTGTTGTGAGACTTCTGTTCACACCTGCAACTTGATCAAAAAGTTATAGATGTTCTCCCTACTGCTCTTTTGTTACATATAAAACTCTTGTTTCATTTGTACTGTGTTGAAATTGGTGACGTGAATACTAACTAATATACGATTCGTGAAACTGGACTGAATTGAATCTTATTAGTAGGTATTTGTCAGAGTTTGAAAGATGAGCAAATGTTAGGAATGAATAAGAAATGTGTGAATTAAAATAACATCTCTCAGTCATGTCAGTGGGCTCACCTTATTCTTGTGCTTGGTTAAACTTTCCGTACATTCATTGTGTAGCTTAGCAAATATTAGAGCCCAGTCGTCCTCAAGCGGATCAGCTCCAACTGTGAATTGATGCTTTGTGCTCCAGCTCCCTGCGCTAAAACTAATCTAGTTGACTTTCATAACTAGTGTAATCTGATTATAAATGCCACACCGAACAGTGTGGCAAAGATCACAAACGTCTTGCTGAGCGGTACCTACGGGACTCCTGCTCAGACTGGAAACATTCTCTCGATGAAGCAGGAGATTATACACCGTGCTACGTCACTGGAAAACACTGAAGTCCGCCAGGATTAATGCTAATTATTGCAATTCTGACTACAGTTTGACTGCTTATAAAATATGTGGGGCCTGTATCTTCAAGTTGATTACCTGGTGTAATGAGTCTGTGTATGTTTTAATTAGCGAAAAAGGGATTTTTTGTTGTTGTCCTTCTTTTCCCTCTTGTAGCCCCAAAGTGTGGTTCAACACTTTGGAGATTAGCAGTTTAGACTTCCTCACAATAGCTCCGTGTCACATTGAACTTAAAGTGGCTCATTTCCTTTTTCAGTTCCTCAAATTGACTAATGTTTATATTTCAACCAACTCTGACATGTGGTGTGTTTCTCCTGCAGTCACCGCAAAGGAAGGTCCTCCCTGGTTTGTTTGGGTTAGACAGCAGAGGAATGAAAGAGGAGGGAGAACGCAAGGAGGTGAGGGTATGGTGACGGGAGCTGAGAGGAGAATAGAGTGCGTGTTAGACAGCTTGGACAATACACTCTGAATATAAAAAGGGGAATAGCAAAAGGCCTGGGGGGAGGAGGGGTGGAGAATTGGAGAAAAGAAAAGAGAAAGGGTGGAAACAGGGGAAAAAATATAGGAGCAGATGCGGGGGAGGGAAAGATAATTGACGGAAAGCTTAAAAGTGACTTGCGATGAAGCAGGAGGATATTCAGAAGGGAATGGGTGAGTCTATGCAAAGGAAAGGATGGGAAAGATAAGGGGCAGTGGGAGTGAAAAACAAGGAGGAGGAGGGCAGGGACCCTGGGGTTAAATTCCTGAAGTGCAACCAACCTGGTACTGCTCTGCTGCCCAAATGTAAACACGGGACAGAGACGTGGACTGACAGCCTGTCACAATGGCTAATGAGAGAAATTCAAACACGCAACCGAGTTCCAAAGGAACAACATGTGTAAGAACACATTATGCAAACAGGACAATGAGAAAGGAAAAGAGGTCATTGATATGATGACTGTCCTTAACTTCTTGTTTCCTTCTTCTCCAGTCTCTTTCCTGTACTCATGTGCTTTTCTTTCTTTCCTACCGTAACTCTATGACATTAAGACCAGACATTATGAACTATGCAAAACTCTTGGTGTTGTGATGATAAACTTTGAGTTTGTAGTTTCAACCCTCTGAAGATTAATGTCAGTTTTGTCCCTAAATGCTAAGGGGACCAAACTGCAAAGGTATTTTGTACACTACCTTTGTAAAATATTTCCAGTTCATTCCAACCTTCTGCTAAAGAAGCGTTCAATCGGTTTTCTGTGGCTCTTTTGCCACATCTAGTGGCTATTGCACGTCATTGCAGCTTATGAGGGCTTGACCTTCTAAGTCAGAGATGACACCAAACAAATTTATCTTTATTTAGCCATTTAATGTGCATGAGTGAAGGTTAACCCTGCTTGTGTTTCCTGTCTGCTTTTTTGACGTCTGACTGCGTTTCTGTTCTGAAATAATCAAGATTCTTCAAAACGTCTGTAGCCTATATTTTTTAGACAATGCTAAAAAAAATTGCAGAGCTGCACTTTTTTTTTTTTTTTAGCATTGTCCTGCCTTTAGCTCCGTCTATCTCTATCTCATTTCCCTTTCCCTGCCAGACGAAAGCATTACGTAGTGCGACAACCGCAGTGTTTCGGAGTAGGCGTTTAGGGTAATTTTCGATGTTTGGTTTCGTCTATCCATAGCATTTTACATCCAGACCACGAGCTTAACTTTAGTATCATCTGATCAGAGCACCTTCTTCTGCATGTTTGCTGTGGAAGAAGGCACAGTTGTGTGAGTGTGTGCGCGTGTGTATGTCTGTGATCTTTCAAAAATGGCTTCTCTTTAGTCAATCTTCCAAAAATGGGAAGATTAGCAGATTATGTGCTGGATAAGTTCACCACTTTCAATAAGTTTGCCACTTTTTCATCCCTAACAATTTTAAGGTTAACATAACTGCTTGTCCTGTTTACACATCCAGCTGAGCTGTAAATCTCTGCAGCTCTTCCAAGGTCAGCACAGGCCATTTGCCTGCTTCTCTGACTGTTACTCTCCTTGTCCAGCCAGTCAAACTGGACAGACAGTGATGTCATGGCAAATTTGTGGAACACTTTTTACATTTTCATATGATAGATTGAGCGGTGGACAATTAAATCTGGAAATTGTTTAATGACCCAACCCTAGTTTAAAACTGCTCCCCCCCTCCACCCCCCCAAGTCTTTCTGCTGCGTTCCTCGGTCATGATGCTTTTGGTTCACTGAAAGGCTGACTGTATAATATGACACATTTCATATTTTTATTTGCTTTCTAACCATGTAATATGTTCATTATGCTTCACAGTTATGCTCTAAATCATCTAGTTAGGTTACATAAGATCACAGATTATTTATTTTTTTTATTGTGGCACCACAGTAACCTCTTTAGTGTCAGAACAGTGTGCACAGTTTTTCTCTCAAAATTCAAAATGATTTAAATACAGACATCTGCAGACAAGGTACAACATTTGTTTCCCCAGCATTATTAAAATTTAAATACAGAGTTTATTTGTTTTCTTACAAATGTCGATACAAAAAAAATCTCATATTAAAAAACAAAGAAAAAAAACAAAAAAAAACAGAAGTGTCCCTGAAGAGAACTGTGATGCAAATTTTAGGGAAATGAAAGCAGCTTTTTGAAGCTGTCTGGTAACTCAGAGCAAAGGGGAAAACCAGACAGCTCCTCTCCCCTAACTGCGTAAACAGAGTAAACATTACATTGTACATCATAAAAAAGAGAGACACAATAACTTAAATATCTCATGATAGTCCAACATGGTTACTTTCTTTTACATAAAAACGGGAAGACGCGATAATCTCAAAGTTTACTTAAAAAGAAAAAAAGTTCTCATTCTATAAATATTGCACTTTACTGGAACTGATACCATGACGTCAAAGTGCACATAACTGTGCACACAAAATGCTGACATCAAGCCATGAACAGTTCCTTCAGTCTACTAGTCTTGCTGGTACAAACACAACCTTTTTATAAAAAAAAAAAATATGTTTTTTTTTTTCCTTTTTGTAGAATGATTTATAATATTATAAAATATCCACTGAAGAGTACTGAGACATCAGCACATTCAAAACCAGATCTGCAAGTGTGAATGTAGAGCAGTCATTCCAGCAAAGCTCAGTGCAACAGAGGAGACTTCATGAGGTTCAGTTTTACTTCTCGTCTTTGGTAGAGGTTCCCATTCGACGTTCTTTTGCATTGTGCGCTCAGATCACAATGAACCACGCCCCATCGGAAATGTCATTTCTTTGGAAAGTTGACCACTTTTGTTTGAGGACACACAATTTCACCAGTTAAATGTAAATACTTCCTTCTGCTGAGATGCCCTACTGTCACTCCCTGATGAGTCAAAGGCTCGGTGGGCATTCGTGCACCGGCTTTAGGTCACATGTGCGTTTGACTGACAAATAGCTTAGGTCCTGTATTCCAGGATGTTTGAGCTGCAGTTCAAATGTTCTTGTAGATATTCATGATCCCATTGGCTGTAGAACTATGACCTCCCTGGATGGTAGAAAATACAACAGAAAGAAAAGGAGGGAAACAAACAAACATTAGTAAACAATGTGAGTGAGTCTCCATCCTGGCTGGTAGACATGTCATGTTGCAAATAATGCCATAAGCTTTTTTGTCATCAGTATGTCTACTTTGGTACAATCGTTTTATATGACTAAATAATTGTGGGGGTATTCAAATAAACCAATACTCACTCAACAATGTTTTGTTCTACTGACCCTAGGAAGAAAAAAACAAAACAGTAGAACAGGCAATGAGTTTCCTTTTTTTGTTTTGATATCATAATGGATCAAAGAGGAATATGTGCAAATATGTGTCAAACTTTCAAAATTTCATGAGAAATACCTTTGTCAGTACCTGTTCTGTTCTTCAAGCACCAAAACAAAAGCGGGCCAAACAAAAAAACCGAACAAATAACAGTTGCAGCTATCACAGCAGAACTGAAGTTGTAAGGCGGATCAGGAGGGAACTTAGAAGAACCTTCAGAAAAAAACAAAGAACAAAAAAACAATTATTAGAGTCTGAAATGTGTTCTGAAAAGTCATCTTTAAGTGCAAGTCTGGAACTTTTGTATTTCTTCTTTTTTTTTTTTTTTGGCCAACTACTCAGCTTCCATAAAAAAGAGAAAAACATTCCAAGTGTGTTTTTTTTTATGTAAAATATGTCCTGGTTCAAAACCCAAGTGTCATTACAAAATAATGGGAACACACATTGTAATCTCAGCTGAGGAAGTCGGTGCTCAAAAGCTTCGTTAGTGCTTGTATGCTTTTCTACAAAACATGGTGCTTAGAGGAGAGTAAAAATGATGTAATAAAGGATGAGTAAATTGTTGGGGTTCACTGTGGTGTATTTCTACAGCTACTGGTCAGATACACTTTTATATTCACTACTGGTTTTGTCAACACTGAACAGCAGATTCAGTTCTCTGAAAAACGTAACTGAAACTGTCCATATTCAACTACAACAAGAAGATCCTTTAGGGGAGAATGTGTTTTTGACAGATATCCTAGCTAATCGTTCATATCTGTTTTTTAAAGATGAAGGCATATCTTCCCCAAGGTTCGTGATCTGAGAGATCAAAAAAAAAACAAAAAAAAACGAATCAGCAGTTTAAACTCAACCAAACTTTAATAAAATGCAAAAAGATATCTTAAGAGATCAGACAGAAAAAATCCATACAGAGATTCAGTCAGATCTGGTATACATTCTGATTACTCGCAATTATATAGATTTAAGCTGCAAACAAACAGTTTTTCTGGAACATTCCTGCTCCGCCTGCTCGCACAACTAATGATTTTAGATACTTTTTTAACTGTTTCGGTTTTATGAGTCATACTTCCTAATTATGAGTTATTTCAGAGATTTTGCAGCTTTAGGCGCAGAACCTGGAACCGCATTATCTCTGATTCGGTCGAGCTGACCAGCGCAGGAATGTGTGCACATAATCCAGGAAAACAGCAGAGCCGTAGCATTATATTATTATAGCAGATCAGTTATTCAATTTTAGCTTGAATATCTGCTGACCAACATATTGCAATAAAAGAGTAAGTGTAGTCCCATATCGTAATAAAAGACAAGATGCAATCCCATGCTATACAATTTATATCTAAAACTTAAGTATATTAATGCATTTATTGTAGCTATCCAGCATGTTAGACACGTAATATTTTTAGCTCTTTTAAGTTCCTTCCAAACTTCAATGGTTTCACACTTTGTCATGAGACACTCGAATGAGTAAAAGTATTTCTTTGAGATTTTATGATTGAGCAACAAAAAGCAATGTATAATCTTGAAGCTCAAATAATAAAAAAAAAGCATCACTTAGACAAATAAACACAATAATATACCGAGTAAATAGAGTAATCATTTGAATTCATTACCCTCAAGTCAACACTTTGTATCATCACCTTTCACTGCATTTACAGCTGGAAGGCTCTTTTAGGTTTGTCTCTAACAACTTATCTTGAGTCTTATTTGTACAAAACAGCTCAAACTCAGTCAGCTTGTTTAATGGGTGTGTGTGAACACCAATTTTTGCATCTATCAGGAAACTGATTATTGGATTTTTGGCTGGGATTTACAGTCAGACTTTTGGCTAACCCATTCAATCATATGATTATATTTGATCTAAACAATTTCATTGTATCCACTTTAAGAGTTTTCGTATTGTTTGAGGGTGAACCTCCATCTCGTCATTTGTTCCTATGGGATGTCCTGAGTTAGGCTCATTCTCATAGCGGCTGATTGTTGTTTTTCATACTCTTACGTAAGCAGTTTTGCCTTGGTAGGTTTGCATTTGCGCCACACATTTAATGGGGAAATATGCCTGCTTTTAGTTTTTGCCTTGAAAGCTGAAATATTCTGTGTCGCATCTATTTAGAATTATCCAACATGAATCTGTGCAAAGAGGGTTTGACTGCTGAGACAGTCAAACGACCTCCTCTCAGTCCAAAAGTGGACACTTTCCCAGTAAGATTAGGCAAAAAACTCCCACACATATCCCATAAAAAGTAAATAAATGTACAGAGGAATTTTCATCGGTTACTCACTTCCTAAAACTTGCCGAGTGACTAAAAGTAGAAGACAGGGTACAGAAAATAACTCACTGTCCTGTTTCAAATGAGGACTTACATGCTGAGACGATCTCTGAGGTGAACGTGTCCACGGAGCAGGACACCTTCACTTCACCAACAGAGCAGTTAAAATTCGCAGTGCTGGAGATGCTAACCAACTCGTCTCTGGAAGGACTTTCATCGTTAAGGAGAACCCTCCACATTTCCCTGTTGACGTTTCCAGGAACATTCCACTCCATCCGTTTTCCTGATAACCCATTATGTGAGTGGCATGTCACATTACAGTCCGATGGGACGCCGCTTTCTTCTCTACATCTGACTGAGGTTTCAGGCTTACTGAAGAGAGCTGCAAGAACGACAGATGATGAAAACGTGAGGTTGTCAAACAAATTAAACTACAGCTTTTGTTTTATTATAATCATCAATATACATTAATTACGAGGGTGAAATGTCACAAAATCAAAAATTGGAAGCAGTGGTTTATGTTTTTATGTGAAACGTTTCACAGTTTGCATTCAAAGAAAAAAAAATAAAAGAAGAGAAAATGAAAGGAAAAGAAAACAAAAGGAAGTCCTCTTTAAAACAGGCAATTCTCATTTCTCACTTAAAAACACATTCCCTATTCCTCAAAACGTCCCTGTATCTTTCTAAAGAGTAGACGGTAAAATAAAGGCTCAAACATTGCTTCTGTAGATAACAGTTCACCTCCAACTTTTGGTTTGATAGATTCCAGATTCATCCCCCACCATCAAAGAATGAAACATAATTACATGAGACAGACATCAATGTTAAAAACTTGCCTACCTGTGACATTAAGATAAATCTGGACCTCGTAGAGATCGCCACTTGCAGCATTTTTATACCTATAATAACATTGGTATTCCCCACTGTCAGATAGGTTTAGTCTGTAGATGTGCATCATTGTGTGGTTTTGATCCATTTCTGTGTTTGGAAGTTGATTTATAAGAGGTTTTGAATGATATCCATTAAGGAAAACGGACTTTCCATCAACAACTTTTTGAAAGTACAGAAACTCCAGTTGCGATTCTTGTGCTACAGGGCAGTAGAAGGTGACATTTCCTCCAACCAACCCATCATACACAATCGGAGAATTCCCTGAAAAATGACACAAACAAAAAAGGAAATTATTAAGCATTTTTTTTTCATAAAACGTCTGCATTGAAAATGATCAAAACATGTTAAACAATAAAAAGCATTCTCTTGCGAGTAAGCCGTTCTTCATTAAGGTTTTGTGTGGGTGTGGGACATTTTGATAAAGTTTTGATGACTAAATTAGATTAATTTCAGTTACTCTTAAGATTTTTTGGGGGGGAAAATTCCTGTCCAGGCAGTGTCCTCAAAAAGGGTTTTACAAGCCAAAGCTTCCTGAATGGGAAATTGAGAGTGTTATGAGCTAACTGTGTGTCATTAGCTGCCATATATATTTTGCTTTTGAAAAAAAACTATGCTTGATTGAAAGAGCCATTTTGGATAAAAAACATAATGATTTTCTCTACAGACAGTTAAGACATACTACCTCAAGTGTGTTTGCAAAACCTGTTTATTTTTGAGACTTCGGTTTTAAATAAAACATTGAAGTCTAGCACACTAAACTCCTGCTTCTTCTTGACTAAATCATATTAAACAAAAATGCAAATTGTTACCCACTGAAGATAAGATATTTACTCATTAACTCCATAGGACATCACTTCTGCACCTTGTCTTTACTTTCTGTTTTAATATTTTCCCTCTGTGCAAATCTTCATGCTGCAACTTGTCTATCAGTATTTTGCTGGCACACCTGAATTTCTCTACTGATGAAAAATAAAGGTTGCTTCTATTTTCCCTTATGAAATTCTTTAATCAAAACACAGTGACTGTGTCTAATTTGGTTTCCATTCGCATTTTTATTTTTGGAATAAACTATTCAACATATGAATGACCCTTTTTTTCAACAATTTTGGAGAACTCTTTATTTATTGATTAACATGTAGTGCGAGTCATTTTAAACTACCAAGCAACATGTTTCATTTAGATGTCCTGGATAAAAATCCTTGAGATTAACTGGAATACTCACCAGCATCAGCTGACCCGAGTCTGGTTATCACCACAGCTAGATGAAGCAGAAGAAGGAGCCTTTGTTCTCTAGATATATACAGAAAATAGAAAACATTGTAAACATCAAAAGGGTAATAAAAAGAGTCACAGCTATATTACACACAAAAATCCTCCCCGTTTTGCAAATGCAAATATGTACAAATAGAAGCAGTGAGTCACATTCTTCGAGGTTTCAGATTGTTTCACTAGAGGTAAAAATGCTCAGTCACAGTCGGTGAGGCATGAGAGAAAACATCGAAATGAGTAATGCATGAATATTTAAAATCACTGCATTCTCACCCTTGGGACATTTGGGGACTTTTAGTTGCATGTAATATTATGATTCAGTATCACAAATTCATTTAATAAGGTCTCCCATAAAAATAACTTTCAACGGCCTGTTTGAACAATCTATCAATATTTATATTAAAGTTGAGAGATATATAACCCTTTTCCATAATGAAATGTCTTTTGTCTTATACCTTGGTAATAAAAAAAAGCTTTTTATTGGGCATTAGTTGGAGCTTAACCAGCTGATTTAACTTACTTTGGTTTTTCGCAACTTCTAACAGCTGTTCTTTGTGTGTTCAGTTCTTATTCTCTTTATTATTCTCATTCGTTAACAACAATTAATTCTTGGACTTATTTGTATTGATGTCTATTTATTTGTTTATTATTTGGGTTATTATTACTAACAAATGGTGTGGATTTAATTTGAACAGATCAGGTGGAAATGTAATCTCGTACAAAATCTTTTTAAAATACTTTTTTCCAATAACAAATGGAACAACATTTACAGCCTCCCTGCCAAAACACTAATCTATACCTGCCCATATTCTCTGTTCGATTCAAGTCAGGACTCTGGTTGACCCACTTCAACGTGTTCATAATGCTTCAAACCTGAAGACATGTGGTGAATTAAAAATGTGCTTTAAATCTGAAAACACCCGGGGTATAAATAATTTTGTGCTTGGTTAAAAAGTTAGACGAAGTCGGCACACTAGTGCTTAAAACACCTTAACAACAGGTAGCAGGCCACCAATCAGATGACATTATTAGATTTTAAGTAAACTAAAATTACTATAAAAAATATTGTAGTAATCAAAAAAATACTACTTTTTTATCACCTCAGCACATCTACAAGACTTAACTACATATTTTCACATGAACTGACATCATAGGGAAATTTTTATTTATACATTTGTAGTGGTTTTCTGGTCAGGTTTTACATCAAAAGTGTTACACCGGAGATCACATTATTTATGATCATTGAGCTGCTGTCTGTGGCCGAAATCACATAATCACAGTGATATATTGGTGGAATGTGAGGATGACTTACAGAAGAATGTGCCAAATCTTTGAGGCCTGTTGAAACAAAAACACAAGTTAGCATTGCAAGACGATGGATTACCTTCTGATTACAAGCACTTACACAAGCTAAATCAAGTTATAAACGAACAGGTCGTCTTTATCTATGAGCTTTTACAAATTGACTTGAAGTAATAAAAGAGTAAATATTGGGATTTTTTGCAGGTACATCTATAAAGTGTTTAATTACACTAGACAGTAACACAAAATTGTACATAAAAAAAACACAATTTATCTGAAATGTATGACTTATCCCTGCTGGGATAAATCATACATTTGGGGAATTCTGGGATTTTTTTATTTTTTATTTTTTGTCTTAGCTGAACATAAGCCAGCATGTCTTCTGCAAACAAACAGCCATAGGGAAGTCCCTGAAGTACAGACAGAGTGTGTTTGAAAGTGCAAAGCCAGTATTACTGGAAATACTTAAATTGTCATTAAAGGTGGCATCTTCGGCCACAAGATGCAAAAATTGCCTATTTTTGCATCTTGCTTCTCTGAAGCAGAAAGAGTGATTTGATTGAACCTTTGGTTACTTAATAAACTCTCAGCAGAGCTGGAATGTAAAAACGGTGAAGAGGAAATTAAAATTTTCACCACCATTTTCCTGGCAGACACTTTAGCTCAGGAAATTCCCAAGCAGAAAATTACCTCCCATTTATTTAGGGTTTAGATTATGAAAGCTCGAAGCAGGACAAATCAAGATAAAGTCGAAATCAGTTGCTGCCTGTGACATCTATTTGAGAACAGATCTTTGTCTAACCACTCTGCTCTAAATGCTTCAAACAGCTGCTACACCCCAGGATAACAATGGAAAGATAAGCTCCTCGCCTGCTAGGCAGAAACCAAGATAAGAGGGAATTCCCAGGTGGTTGATAATTACTCGGTGGTTAGCATACAGTAAGTTTAGTAGTGGTATAATTGATACTAACTGAAATGTGATAGCAATATTTATAGCTATATATATGAACAACAGGTGATATTGTTTACATGATTTTACCAAGGTAGATGTCTAATTTAATCAAACTGAATTCCAATACACTGTATCTAGGTCAGCCTGGCTATCGTCAACACTTTGGTTTCTAATTCAAATTGCATCAGTGAGCTGTTGCCTTTGTGCTCTCAGTTTCCGATTACACTCTATGTAGGGTTTGGTTACTGATTCACACAACAAAACAATCTTTTTACATGGGTTTCATGTCTAGAGCAAACAGTTTGTTTCAGAGGTTGGTTTCATTTTGTTGTGGTTAGAAAAAAATACCTGGTGCATTACTTGGCATTGCCTAGAGATGTTCTCAGTAAAGCCATGTGAGACTTGTGGCTTACGGCATGTAGCATATGTCATATCCGTAAAGGCGTGACAACTTGAAAAGGGAAAATGAAACACTGAAATACCTAAGATGTGATGGCCTTTGCAATAACGCACCTGTTACATTTCTTTTACTTAAAGGAGGTCTAAGTATGCATGTTTTAACATGCAAAACAAACTATTGGGAGACTTCTTTAACCTAAATGCTTACTGGTAATTTAGTTAGGAAATTTCAACCGAGCATTGTTTCAAAAATCAAAGCAGTTTATACAGTTACAATAAAAAAATGACTTGTAACATATTCCAGATGTTCTCATTTTGAACTACACAACTTGATCAGACTTCTTTATCAAGGGGTGAAATAAGATGTAGGCTGTGGTCAGATTTATGCAACAAAATAATCCTAATCATACAAGAAATTTCTCTGATGTTGAGAGCTGTAATTGCGATTGGATGTTGCTTTCTTTTGTCAGTGGGACTTTGTGTCACCTGCATAATGGGAAGACACTGAATGAGTGATGGAGGAGATGAGAGAGTTCCTCTCATGCAGAGGGTACAACAAAGTTTGTAGTGAACCAATTATTTTGCTACTTTCAGAATTATTATGCTTAATTACGATACAAAAAAACAAAAAAAAGATCGTTTTTCAACCGGACAGTAGCCAGTTCATTTATTTTGTATTGGAAAACTAACTGGGTATGCTGAGTAGTTTAACTCTGAAAAGTTAAACCTATTATTAAACTCACATAATAGTTTAATAACTATTAAACTAATAGTTCAATATTATACAAAATACAAGGAAACTTGTGTGTAACTATTAAACCATGCTTAATACCATGCTATAGTTAGTACAGTATGCATACATCATACTGTATGCATACAGTACATCCAGTACATCATACTATGTACTGTATAAGCCATTATTACTGTATAATCGTGATTTTAAAGTTGCAACATCTGACAGTAGCAATATAAGATCATAGATAGTGATCCCTAGTAAAGATTAGGGCTCATTAATCTGCCACGTAACAGAATATGTTTATGACTTCTGCTTTTTCTCATTACAAAGTGATGACATCATAATGAAACTCTGGGAATTTCCACATGGCGTAGGACGTCACGTTGTTGAACACAAGTTTTCAGGATTGACCCTGAAACTATCTACCAATGCCACTCAACTAATTCAGTTTAGTCAACAAAGGTTTCATGTATCCTTAAGAGGCAGTCACGCATTACTAGACAAATGCAACTGGGTATGCTGAGTAATCTAACTCTGTAAAGTTAAACCTATTATTTAGTGGTTAAAAATAAGAAAATCTACAGGAATAGCCCAGTAGTTTGTTCTCTCATGTTGAGGAAAAAAAAAGCTTGATTAACCACCAACACACACGAATACACATACCGGAAGAGATAATAAGACACCTTTTTTTTTCTCCCATGTGTCTTCATATTAATGCAAATCATTCAAGCACAGAAAATCAGTCAACCAAAAAACCTGCACATTAGATGGAAGTAGGAGACTGAAGCAGAGGCAAAAAATACATTTTTAACAGACTCGATAAAAACAGCACTGCTGAAAGCTAAGCTCTATATCTCGAACTGCTGCCAGTTTGGCATGACGTATTTGTTTTCAAAGAACTTTATGTTACTGACACGGAAGGAAGTGATAGTCCTTATCACTAAACAACACGCTTTGTGAGATTCAAAATTAATAAAAGCTGCTCTCATTTCAGAGGAGAGAAGATAGACTTACCATGATTTTGTCTCGTCTTGCTGGCTGACCGCGTACTGTCTGTGCGAAGTTGTGCCTCCTCCTTTTCTAAGCATGAGGAAGGGCGGGGCCACAGCCTGAGTTTGTTTCCGTTTTGTTGCTATAGTAACAACGTGCACCCTTTGGAAACGCGCGATCTCGGGAAGGTTCAGAGTCCTGATTTAGTTAGACATGCGACGATGAATCAGTTTCTCTAGAATAAATTAGTTACATTTTGAAAAAAAAAAATAGTGTCTATTAGAATAAAGTATGGCTCAATATTTGTATCTGCTTCACTTGCAACAAAGTTCATTGAAGCGGAAAAGGTAGTTGAATTAACTTTTATCAGACTGTGCAATCTTCTCTTTACCTTTTCAGTAAGCTAGAAAATTAAAATCCAATAAGCCAGAAAATGTTTTTTTTATACTTTAACATACAGTAAAATTACAATTTACTTAAATAGTTTTATTTAAGATTCTATGAATAATCTGAATGTCTTCTGTAAATAGATGACATAATATGTTGGTAACAACATTGTCAACAAACATTTCCAATCTTATTTGAAATGTTGAAATAACATCTTGACTCTCAGGCACGTTTATTGAATCTGTGCTTATAAGGATTTGCTCATGTTTTCTCAATCACAGCTCTCAGTTGTCACACTTTCTTACACCTCTTGAACATTTTAACATTTTATTAAGTTACACACAAGCTTCCTTGTATTTTTCTGGGATTTTATGTGATAAATCAAAACAATGCACCACATAATTTTAAGGACTGAGAAAGCAAAACATGCTTTGCTCATTGCTTTATGAATAAAGACATGGAAACTGTGGCATGCATTTATTTTCAGCTACCTTTACTCTAATAACTTTAAATAAAACTTATTTCAATTGTTTTTTTCAGATGTCACCTTGCTCCAACAGTTATGTCACCTTATTGTAATTTAATTTTAGATACAGTTGTTCTGTGAAGCCCACAAAGGTTTTTCAGAGAGCATTAGTAAATAAACAGCAGTGGTATCTGAAAGCAGAAAGAGTACAGGTCTAATGGAGACCCACCAAACCATTTATGTCCATCTAAACTGAGAAGGCAGCAAAGAAGACAATAGATCAGAAAAGCAGTTGAGAGACTCATTATATTGCTGGATGAGCTTTAAACTTTAAATTATTTGTTGACTATTGGTGCACTTCAGCAAGTCATTGTTTAAGCCATAACAGGTCATCTTTGGAGTTTGCTACAGGCTGTCTAGGGTACAAAGCAAAACTGTGGAAGAAGGTGCTCCGATCAGGTGAGACGACAAAAAGGTCTTTTTGGTCTGTATGCAAACCACCATGTGTGGAAAGTTAGCCTTGCATGTAACCCTGAAAACACAATTACCAAAGTTATATGTGTTTGCAGCCACACTGTGTGGTGGGGGAGATTTTCTTCTGCAGCGTTATGTAAGTTGGTCGGAACCAATAAAACGGAGGTTTAGACTTAGGCGATGATTCACCATTCAGCAAGACAGTGATACTTAACAATCAGCCTGAGCTACTATGAAAGGATTTAAATCAAAAAAAATATTCATGCATTAAAACAGATCAAAGTTCAGCTATAAATCAAATTGAGAATCTGAAACTAGAAAAAAAATAAATAAAGTAGTATTTTTCAGATGTTACCAATGAAATCTACTTGAGCTTAATCTATTTTGCACAGAAATGTGGTCAAAACATTGTTTTTTATTTTTATTTTTAAAGTTACATAAATAGTTACAACTGGTATTCTGCAAAGTTCTGTCTGACTCCAGAGAGCAGAATACAAATGCTCGCTTTGATTACAGTTAATTTGCTCAAAAAAAAAAAAAAACTTCCCATGTATTATTTCCCTCTTGCTTCATAATTCTTCCTGATAATCCTAACACACGATGCAACGAGGTTTGTGATTACAGCACAAAAAATGTGAAAAGGTTCAAGAAGATTTACAAGACATTACATCTCAACCCTTGTCAGTGTATAAATATATAACTTTCACTTGTCTTATGCTTCCAGAAAGTGAAGGGGATTCTTTCAGTTGATGGTAAAACCTTAGACATTAGGGATGTGTGATTCAGTGTGTGTGTGTGTGTGTGTGTGAAACAGTGTGTGATGGATTCCCTGAACTTTTGCCTTTCCCGCCAGACTGGTCCGCCTTTGACATTTACCTCAGTGGTTGAGCAGAAATACTAGATCCTCCCATAGTTTCACATTCACGTCTTGTTCTTTGCTGATTTTTATGCCATTTAAGAACTTAACTTCTGTCTTTTATACAGTTTAAGTTCTATGTAAAACTATCTCCACCGCCTTTTGTTAAGGGTGTACTTATGTTTTACATAATCCCCTCTTTTAAGTTTGGTCCCCCATATTTAGCTCGTAGAAACCTTATTGGCTCATCTTAGTGTTTTCTTTACTACTCCAAATTTCCTGTTGGACTTGTTGGCGCAAGGGGGAATGCCTTGGGATGAGAAGTCACTCTCCTACAGGACCAAGCTGCCGATGACAGACTTCCCTCAATAAGTCTTGTGACCTTTCTAGCACTTCTTTGTTTTCCGAAAGCATCAGAATGAAGAAACAAGGAATTCCAGGGATTTTCCATGAATGAAAAACTCACTCCAGCACTCCCTGATGGAGAGTAATGGTATTCCTGATACCTTCAACAGCCTGATAATGTAAAAACATCGGAATCCCATTTTCTTCTCTTTAGATTATGCAATCTGTGTCATAAATGAATAAGGAATTTCGCATCACCGACATATCTGCAGTTTCAAAACAACAAGATGACGGTAGGGAATAGCAGATGAGGTCCTTTTGCTGACTGCCTAGAGTCACACAATACTTCAAATTCAAGAGTTCATCAATCTAATGTATCAGTTTCAAAACTATGTTACCTTTGAGCCTTAAATATTATATTAAATAAGGGGCAGTTAAAAACCAGGATGAAAGTCAAGGTGAAACTGTTTGAAAATGAAACATACCTTGCACAACATTTCTAAGGAGGATTAAGTCAATGTTACTCAAACATATTCTGGTCACCATGTTTCTTGTACAACAGCTCAGTAAATAGAAAGTAGAGAACTGCAGACAGTGTGTGGGTGGAAAGGTCTCAGATTACATTTACTGTATTTGTACGGGGAAATAGATTCTCACCATCAAGGTGGGTTTTTTTTGTAGCTGTTTATTTATTTTCTTTCAGTAATGTCCCTAAAATTAAAGCCAGGGTTTAGGGAGATATTAAAGAAACACTTGTTGGGGAGGAGGGGTGGAAGCTGCAAGTTCCCCTTTCTAAAACTATAGACACAGTAAGTTCACTCTGCATGTAGGATTTTCCTATCTTTTATTGAAGAATAGCCTTAGAAGCGTCCTTTTAACAATGTGGGTTTGTCCATATATTTTTTCAAAACACAAGTTGAGAAATTATACCTTTGTGATTTTTTTTGTTTTCTCTCATTTTAAGAGGGTTTTACATGTCCAGCTGGAGTAAATGGTAGAAGATGGGCTTCATGTCAACTTGCACCAAAGGTTTTTTACATCTTGAAAATGCTGTACATTAAAGTGTAATAGAGATTTACGCAATATTATGGAATCAAAGTTCAGATCTGAAAGGAGCCATGAAAGATGTAGTCATTTAGATTTTGATGACGTAATACCACAATGTCCAATTTGAAGAAAAATAATAACATGATAGCAAGACGAAGACAGATGCCCTGAAGTGTAGATAGTGTTTTTTTCTTTGTTTCCTACACAGCACATTTAAAAAAAAGTGAAACAGGAGTACAGGTAAAGATAGTACAGCGATTTAGCAATTGTCACACCATGTTGCCACTTGGCAGCTTGAAGTAGGTCCTGTTAAATTTTATTGTTTCTCTTTCCTTGCCATCTCATAAGACAAGGGACATATACTTGCATTTTATTTTCTTATTTGCTTGAGGGACCAAAGTTTATCTTGTCATATAGCACAGCTCTTAGGATCGTAAGTTAGGTAAAAGAAAATAGTCAAAGTTATATTCAGCAGAAGATTGACATGTTGGTGTCAAAAATTCTCTACAGCAGCCTGTTTTGAGCCTTTTGAACACATTTTCCTTTAGCAGCATTCATAATGGAGAGAACAGCAGACCCATAGCAAATGGACAAACATCTTCATCTTCCAAAGTGTAACCTGGACCTGCACTGGTCGGGCATTCACAACACAATCGAGTTATTCTCAGACAACTACTGCTAGTATGGATTCAATATTGTAAGTAAGTTGGTTGAAAAAAAAATGAGAGATCAATAACTTTAAGACATTTAACGAGCATTATCAAAAGTTGTGAGAGTGTAGCACTCAACAGCCAAAACATGAAGATGATTCTTTAAGCTGCAGCTGTGATCAAATTAAACTTGCTTGCTGCTATAGGCAA